AGGTCGTTTTGCCTGACGAAGACCTTAGGATCGAAACGTTGTGATTTTATACATTTTTGAGAGCAGTAGTGGCAGTGTGCCGATTTTTGTTTATTGACTATTTTTAATACTAGACATCTATTTGTGGCTTGTTTTTAATGCAGGTGTTGAAATGCTGATGGCTTTAAGTTATGGTAGTCAGCCTAATCTGCTTCCACAGCAATACCCCCCTCCTCTACTGCCAAAACCAGGGCGAGACAATGCCCGTCTGCAGAAACTCCTGAAGAAAAGCGCCAAGAAGAAAGTCGGCTCTTCCTCTCAGACACCCATCCCATTCAGGCCGAACTTGTCGCCAGTCAATGAGGCCAGCCCTGACCTGGAGCACAGTGACCACGCCACCCCTCCAAGGACTCCAGAAACCCCTCTCTTCAGCAGGACCCTCGACTCTCAATATCCCTCCAGCAGCCCATTCTACCGTCCCTCCACCTCCCCATACTTATACCCTGCCAACAGCTCACACTACAGCTCTACGCCCACACTGTCTGCCCAATCGTACTCTTACCCTGCCCGATCACTGGAGCACCAGATAGCACCTCTATACACATGCTCATCTATCCTTTTTGACGATGACTCAGAGCAGGCCACAGACGCTGACCCAGATACGTCCTTTGAGATAGCCTTCAGTCAAATGCTTCAGTCCAGTTCCTCAAGAGCAGGGATGACGCATGGCACATTCGGTGAACGACAGACCTATCAAGCCTCAGTACAAATACAAGCTCCCCCTTTGGCTCCAGTTCGACCTCCCGCTCCAAATTTGACATCGGCCCGTGCGCCGGGTTACCAGACACAACCTTCCATCTCTCAGGTTCCAGTGCAATCCAATGGGGAAGGATATAAAAACGTTGCACCTGCACCCATTACTCACACACCTCTCACACATAATCACGTCATGGAAACAGCTGGGTCACACTTCAAGACTTCCACAATGGACAAAATAGCTGCTTTTCCACAAACAAGGATTTATACTCCAAAAACCTCATTTTATGAGATATCAAAGCCACCTATTCAGGACTCCTGGACTTTTCAAGGAGAAGTACCATTTAATGAAAAAAATCCAGTGATAAATGTTAAACAAAATTCAGGGATGCTGTCTGAAGCTCAAACACCTTCTAGTCAGATAAATACATATGTAAGCCCAGTTACAGGGGCAAAAAGACCTGTTTTGGAGGCTTCTGCACATAACCAGCCCTTGTTTGCATTTAACTCATTATCCACCACAATGGTCTCTACAGAAAACCAAAAGGGGCCCATACCTCAAAATCACCGGCTCCAGCCTCCCTCATCGACTAGTGTAAAAGCTCAAGGTGCAGCTGTTGATCATGATGATGCCTTGAAAAAAATAGCTGTGGATAAAATAAGGAATTCCATTCCAAATGGTGTTGTGTTCACCACAGGACTCAAACCGTTCATTTCTAATGCCTATTCTGAGGAATGCCTGACTCCAAAGATTTCTAAATGTGAAGTTTCCTTATCCAAGACCCTTGCTGAAGCTAGTAAGTCAAGCTCTAGAGCATGTGAGGTGCTTACATCTACAGTTCCACAGGAGTATCCAATGACTAAAACTGAAACTTCAGAAACCTGTATAATGACACCAGCCAAGGCTGTTCCAACAGATATAAGTCAGGAGACGTCCATGCCTGTACTCTCCCGAAGCTATCAAACACCAAGTACGCCTGTATACTGGTCACCAAGACCACCAGCACGGTTTTTGGGCAACCAGAGGCCATCACAAAATGATACTAACATCCCGAAACGAAAGTCAACATACTATGGTTTGACACCTGCTGAATATGTTGCTTATGGTGGAATCAAGGTGAATTCACAAGATGATTCTTCTGTATCTAAAGCTGAAGTACCAGAAGAGTTTAAAAACATGACATGTGAGAATTACATGTCCAAATCTCCAGCTCAAGAAAAGTTCAGCATTATATCTGATTTCAATACAGAGAAATCCTCAGAGGCTTTACAAACTTCAGTGGCTGAGCTGCCCTCACAAGTCTTGATGACAAACCAAACAGAGGTACAAGTAACTGACAAAACTGAAAAACAAACTATCAATAACTCCACTTCAGAAATACCAGTTCAAATTCTTAAGGAGCAAGAGACAATCCCTGGAGTAAAACCAATGCCTCTAGCTTTCAATCCTGAAGATACAGTGTGCCATGGGCTTCAAACTACACCTTTAAGAATGGCCATAAACCCCACTGCTGTAGCAGAGACTCCTAGACAACTAAATTCAGGGTCTACAGACATCACCATCCCTCCTTTTACAGCAGAGGGGGAAAAAATGCCAACTTACCCTTTTCCCCTGGTACAATCAAATATTCCGAACTCCGATATAACCGGATTGCTAAGAAAGAACTTCTTGTCGGTTCAAAATATCCCACAGCAAATGGTGCAGTCAGAGAATGCACACAGATCTATATATCCAACAGAAAGTTTTAATCCTGCAACAGTGAAAGCAATGCAATTACAAGTTTCTGCAAATCAAGAACAGAAAACCATATCATGTTTATCCAAGTGTTGTTTAGAAACCTATCAGACTTACTCCGCTGTCTGTGACTCTTCTACTACTATCAATACAGGTAATGAACTTCACAATATCATAAACACCAAAACTGAAGGTTTCAATAAACTCACAACAAACTCAACCAATGTCACAGACACTAGAATGCCATCTGCAGACACCAGAATTTACAGTAAAGTCCCTCCTGATATTAAACCTACAGCCCTCTCAAAGCCAGAGGATCACTCAAAGTTAGGTGCATCTATCTTTACAGCCCCCTCAAAGACAGAAATATCCAGACCTGGAGCCTCATGTATGTCTAATGCAGACAGTCCTGATGTTTTGTCCAAATCAAACATATTTTATCCTCCAGCTCCTGCTAAAACAGATATATTTAAACCTCCAAGTCACTCTAAACCAGAGGCATCTCAACTTGCAAAAACATCTAATCCTGTAGTTTACTCTAAATCAGAAGCAAAGAAAACTGCAGTTTTAAAAAACCCAAATTCAACACCTCCCTCATTGAAACCCATTTCTAAAATCAATCAAACCCCTGAAGAAACTAAAGGTCAGCAGATGCAGAAACATGGCATCAATGTGCAGTCTATTCCAAGCCTTTCAAACAAAACAAACAGATCATCCAAATTCCCCTCAGAAGCACAGATATTTTCACCTGCACCTAACACTGAAGCCCCAGTCACACACCTGGCAATGGATAAATCTTCTAAACCAGACAACAGCAAAGAAGGAGTAATATCCCTAGGTGCTAATATAAAAGAGCCAAACCCACCTACAGATTTGGCATCAGATTTACAGGACTCCAATAAAACAAACACTGATTCCAAAGCTGCAACTAAAGTTACAGTTGAATCTAAATTAAGCAATTCAACAACACAACAAATAAATTTAAAAGAAATGATCAAACCATCAAATAACGTACACCAAGCCACCAAATCGAATATGGAAAGTGTGGAGACCAAATCCTTAAAATCTGATACTCAAAAGCCTTTACCGTCTTCAAATATGAAATCTCTTCGAAAAGCTCCAAGTGCAGAAAATAGTCTTGCCGCCATGCTTCTCAAAGCTGCTAAATCTCTACCACTCTCTTCATCTGAAGAAAGCTCTGCAAAATCCCAGACAGAAGCCAAAGCATCTAATTTGGATGTAAAGCCACAACATGCTCAGGATTCAAAAGTTGATCTTGTCACAGATGCTGAAGTGTTGAAGTCTGATACCTCAAAACCTCAAAAGTGTTCAAAAGATTCATTAGTAACTAAAAGGCCAAATGAGGCTGTAGCCACTGAAGATGGCAAGTTTAAAGAGACTCTCTCTGAACCCACACCAGATGATCAGAAAAGGCAAAATGATGAAGCTAAGGGTGCTCAGAAACCCAAAGGCCTGAAGGCCAAGCTCAGTGGCTGGACAAGGCTGAAAAAGCACATGGTGGTTGAACCTGAAGCCCCCAGTTTTCCAGAGTCTGAGGTAGAGAAAAATGCTCAGAAAGCAGATATAAAAATAAGTGGTAAAGACAAGTCTGGAGGGGCCAAAGAAGAGTCATTGGGTGGACAGGATGTGGTGAAAAAGAAAGATGAGCCCAGGACAACAAAAATGTGGGATGCTGTACTATTTCATATGTTTGCAACAAAGGAGAACATTATGAAGCAGATACATAGCAACAAATCTGAGGATGAGCGGAAAAAAATAGAGAATGATGGTCAGTTAGTCCCATCCTTCGTCCACCGCCTGCCCATCCTTCTCTACAGTCCGCGCTTCGATGCCCGGAAGCTGAAGGAGGCGGCTGCGAAACCTCTAAACAAAATAGCTACAGCCTTTGAAAGAGGGCTGCTGCATCGCAAACAGCAAGGTGAAGAGCAGAAAGACTTCAACAGAACAGCCAAAGGATTCGGTGCATCTACAGGAAAAACAGCAGATGTTTGATTGCATTTCAAATGTTTTAACTACAAATTTATACAATTATGTAGCATTGTAGTACTGTAAATTTATTTCATGAAATCAGCAACAGTGAGAAAAACAAGCTATGCACTGTGTTCTGCTCTGAGCAGTGCAGTAAGGGGCTGGTCAGCAGAAATGGAGGCCTAGTGCATTCCTGCATTGAGAGGGCGACTGATGGGTGCAGCTGTTCGGGATGTGGCGAGTGAGAAAGTGAGCAAGGGCTGAAAACGTAATGGTGAGAATGATCAAACAAGGAAAGTGGCTCAGAGTGTGGCGTGGCATCCGGGGGATGGATGCTGGGTTTAGGTTTGCTTCACGTCAGCTGAGCCGGGTGGTGCGAGCAGACGTGTTTAGAATAGAGAGCTTCAGAATGTGACTTTTGAGCGGTGTCAAGAGCACTGCTCAGAATGAGCTATGACACGACGGTGTTGTTGTTCATGTAAAAAAAAAGGTCTGAGGGAAAAGTGGTAAAGTATAACTAGAACATGTAGGAAAGACATGTAAAAAATTAAAAATCTAAATCTCAAGATGTTGATCATGGAATAAGACAAAATGTGACCCTGGACCACAACACCAGTCATAAGGGTCAGTTTCTCGAAATTGAGAAATCTGAAAGCTGGATAAATAAGCTTTCCATTGATGTATGGTTTGTTAGGACAGGACAATATTTGGCCGAGATAGAACTATTTGAAAATCTGTAATCTGAGGGTGCAAAAAAAATCAAAATATTGAGAAAATCGCCTTTAAAGTTATCCAAATGAAGTTCTTAGCAATGCATATTACTAATCAAAAATTAAGTTTTAATATATTTACGGTAGGAAATTTATAAAATATCTTAATGGAACATGAGCTTTACTTAGTATCCTAATGAGTTTTGGCATAAAAGAAAAATCGATAATTTTGACCCATACAATGTTTTTTTGGCTATTGCTACAAATATACCCCAGCGACTTAAGACTGGTTTTGTGGTCCAGGGTCACAAATGTATCATGATCCCCTTGTCTTCTAAAAAAAAGTTTCAGATGTGTTATTTTTCACTTTTTTTAAGCTTAAAACCAGTGTTGGATGTTTTCATACATCCATTTCTAGCAAAAATGTTGCAAGTGATTTCATGCTTACAGATTAATTTCTTGTTCAGTGTCACAAACACTGAGCATGATTAGACTGATAGGTGTGACACCAGGCATGTGACATTTACAGAATACTACCCAGGACTGCTGGGGGCGGAAAACTCTTTATAAGCTGGTAATTATGGCAGCCCTTGTACTTCAGGGATCTCTGTTGCAAAACCCAACTGATTGCCGTGTCGTGCCCTTTACTCACTTCACATGCACATAGCTCAGAGTAGTTCAACTTTGGCACGGTTCTGAGACCTAGTTCTGTGTAGTAGTACAGAATTGGCTACAAAGATCCTAAATAAACGCAAGTAGAACCAGCACAGAAGTGCATTTGTTATGCACAATAACAGCGAGAAACCACAATAAACAATTTAAACTGTTAATCATCACACACTGCCTTACCCTGCACACCCCACAAGGTACTTTAATATAGCTATATGTATGTATGTGTGTTTGTTTTTGTAGATAAGCAGCAGCTAATGTACAGCACATTATCATATTTTAGTTACTTTGGTATGAAGCATGAATTATGTCTGTGTAGTAATGAACATGCTGAGTTTATATTTTGTTATTTTGAATCAAAGATTTTAATAAAGAAAGTAAATTTCTTACTTGTTCTTCAGTTTGTGTCGTTATTTATGAAGACCTTCTCATATTTCCCGTGCCCACTCTCAACAAATTTGTACCTTTTTCCAGCCAGTTCCTGAAAAGGTAAATGTCAGATTACAGCCTTGTAAAATCTCAAAAAACCAAGTGAAGAGGATTTCAGTACTACTTAATCTATAGTAGCAGTTTACAGGAGCAAGAGAATGAGCTTCTGCTTAGTGTGAACAGCCAAACTCGAGTGATGATTGCATGTTGTTCACTGGTTGTTTTGAACACAATTAAATCCTAACATAAGTTTAGGGAAACGTTTCTGTAAGGTTTATCATGGTTTAGTGTCATGAGGAGTCATGATGTACCTTTGCATATGTTTTATCCTGTGATGAAGTGTCTCCCAGATTCTCCCACATGGATTTTATGTTACGCACCTCACCAGCCTTAACATCCTGACACTAACACACACAAAGAAAGATAATAAATGGCATAATACTAAAACACACAAATTAAAGATAATTAAAAAAATTTCATCCAAAAACAAACTGCAGTCTAACAGGTTCGTTTTTTTTTAAAATCTTTGTTCAGGTCGTAACCACTAGACGGCGTCATTAAACCACAAGCTTGTTTCAGGGATCTCTCCCATCACATGACTTGCCACAGCGTGAACTTTAACTGTACAACCTCTTTTATATTTTCTATTGATTATATCCAGAAAACACATATAAGCAAGTCCAAAACAAAAAAAGTCAAAGCAGACATTTTGAAACCGCTAAACTCTTTCACAATAGTTTGATCTCAAAGAGTGAAAGAGTGCAAAGAGTGAGAAGCCACTTAATCCACTCAGCTTTAAAGAATCTATAGAGAAAAAAGAGATAGGAACTGATTACCTTCCTGAAAAGGATGAGAAGAACATCAGACACAAGAAAAGTGTAAAGAAGAGAACTAAAGATGAAGAAAAAGAAGATAGAGGATACAACAGATTCAGAAGGAAATTGACTATTGGCTGGATTCAGAAACTATGTGATTAACATTCAGAGACTATATCATATAAACTTACAGCTGCTTTGGAGGAGGGGCTCTTGATGCTGACATCACTGTTTCCTTTCACCCATTGGTTAATTAGATCTACCACACCCACCTTCATTCCCTCTGTATCCTGAATCAGAGAAATTAGCCATCCTTTAATTATTCATTTACTCACTTACTCACTTTTTAGAGTCACACAAGAATGATTAAGAATGTGCAACATATCTGCTCATCTCACAAGGGAACAGAAATTCAGTTACAGCAACTAAACAATGACTGATAACACAATGCGGGTCTGAGTGAGTAAAGAATCTGGTGATAGTTCACCCCAAAATTATTATTATTTTTTTAAATTTTTCAAAAATCACGATTTTTATTATGTTATGTTTTTATTGTGTTAGTTAGCTAGTATTTTGTAGTTATTTTTACCTAGTCAAAATAACCCAACTGCTGTTTGACTGAGATTAATTGGAATGCACAATGAAAAAACATGATTTTTGAAAATTGTTAAAGTTATCTGTTTTTGCAAATGAACTCTTCATTTATTTATCTATCCACATGTCGTTCTTAAATCTGTATGACTTTCTTCTGTGTAACACAATTATATATATATATAAAAAAGTAACTGGGGTCCAAAATAACACTGAACCCCAACAGAGTGCAGCAGTGATAACATAATGTTGTAGGTAAACCCAGAAGTTTTTAGCATTACACTGAATCCCTCAACAAAAACCCCATAGGATGTTTCCATTGCCTTTCAGATTATTGCAGAAAAAAAAAGCTTTATGACCAACAACATTTTATGATTCTTACATGTTTTGTTTACCATTATAATCTTCACAAATTTTTATCAACTTTAAAGCTTAAATATATTCACCAGAAGTAAAAAGCTAAAAGTAGGTTTTTAAAACAAACTACACCACAGTCGCGGGACTTTAATGTCACCATCACCAAGCTACCAACAAGTCTTCACTTAAAAGATACTTTCCCTGAAAGCTTGAGTTATTACAAACACACTGAGGCTGAGAAGGCAGACTTGTGATTAGATGAGTTTTCAACTGACAACATCTGTCCCCAACAACCTCTGAAGTACAATTTAGTTACTTGTTAGTAACTCTCCTTTTCAAGACAAGCAAAAGCCTCTCATAGAATAAAATGTGAAAATATCGTCAGGCTTTTAATCAAAAAACATATTGCCATCCAGACGATAGAAACTGCTATGAAAATACTAACTTGTGTCCAGGTTTTGGCCTACAAAAATACGTCATCTTTCAGATTATTGCAGAAAAAAAAAGCTTTATGACCAACAACATTTTATGATTCTTACATGTTTTGTTTACCATTATAATCTTCACAAATTTTTATCAACTTTAAAGCTTAAATATATTCACCAGAAGTAAAAAGCTAAAAGTAGTTTTTTAAAACAAACTACACCACAGTCGCGGGACTTTAATGTCACCATCACCAAGCTACCAACAAGTCTTCACTTAAAAGATACTTTCCCTGAAAGCTTGAGTTATAATAGTTTGCAAGAGCGTAATTACAAACACACTGAGGCTGAGAAGGCAGACTAGTGATTAGATGAGTTTTCAACTGACAACATCTGTCCCCAACCACCTCTGAAGTACAATTTAGTTACTTGTTAGTAACTCTCCTTTTCAAGACAAGCAAAAGCTTCTCATAGAATAAAATGTGAAAATATCGTCAGGCTTTTAATCAAAAAACTTACTGCCATCCAGACGATAGAAACTGCTATGAAAATGCTAACTTGTGTCCAGGTTTTGGCCTACAAAAATACGTCATCCTTGCAGCAGTCTATGATTTCCATTGTATGGCTAAAGAAAAAAACATTCTGCAGAATATATTATTTAATGTTCTAAAGAAAAAAAAGAAAGTCATACAGGATTGGCATGACATGAGACTTGAGTAATTTGTTTAGGGTGAGCTATCCCTTTAACATACATAATAATACATAATGGATATGATGGTTATGATTGTATGAACCTTGGAGGACACCGCCTTTGCTGAATTCTGATTCCAGGCTTCTCCCTCCTCAAACAGGGTCTTCCGAGCCAAAACGGGTTCTGGTGGTGTTGGGACGTCCATTACTTTTACTACACTGCCCTCTTTACAGGACTCCTGCACACACGCAACAAAACACACACTACTATGACCAGAAATATTACGTTATCTGGGACATGTGAAACACCTGCTTGACTCTGCAGTAAAAGCACAGTAACACCTGGTTCCACAATACACACATTTTCCATGGGGCTCTTACATGTTTCCTGACAGTTAGGTGGCAGGAAAACAGAACCGGCTGAAAGCAAAAATGTTTGAGCGAGTCAGCATGACTAAGAGAGGAAGTGCCTGGACATGCATGGTGTCTGAAAGCACCACAGCAGTGAGATCAGAGTGATGAACATCAGAGCAGGTGAATGTAAGCACTGGGTGTGGTAATAACAAGAGTGCGTGCAAATAAATCAATGCAAAAGCAGCAGCATGTAGCCGTGCATTTACAGGTTTAACTATGAAACCGACATACAAGTGCATGTGAAGGTAATTCACCTCAATGGCATGGTTGTACTGCTCCAGTCTGCCATCTAACTTCGAGATGATCGTGGGAGGCTGGGTCTTCTTTATGCTGTTCCTGTTTTCACAAACAGATGAAACATTACCTAAAGCACCACTGTTCTTTCAAGACACCGACCATCTCAGAACAAGCATGGACATGAAGAGCACCATGACTCATAAGGTAGTTTAAGATAAACAAAGGCTCTGTGAAGCATACTGTTTATACTACATACAAGAATGAACAATGTGGAAAAGAATACCCGGTGATAAATTGGATTCTGAGACGGATACATGCACACACAAAAAAACGACTAAACAAATCCTTCATCATTTCATATTTAGTGAATAGGAGAAGGATACATAGGTAGAAACATGTCATGTCATGCCTGCCTGCCTGAAAGGTGAACCATGTTTCAAACAGTTGTTCATTCATGAATGAATCATTCATGTGTGGTGTTTAGATCAAAGAGAAAATACTGATGAACACATGATGTCATACCACAGCACAGAAAAACAACAATTCACCCCTGCTTTTTCTCACATTCAATACTATGAGGGGGATTTTTTTTTTACAATCCTGCAGTAAATCACTTGTGCCCTTTCATCTCAAAGTGTATGTGTGTTTCCGAAGTTACATACTTTTTTTTAATGGAGCGGTTTAGAGACTCAGTCCTCTCAGTAATCTGTAGATCAAAAGTAAAAGAACATTAGTAAATAGATTCAGAGTATTTGTGAATCTTTACAGTACTGAGCATGAAAACACTTAAGGCAATATTTTGTGCAATGTTTCCAGGCAACAGGCAAAAAAAAAAGTGAAATACAGTGCAACTTCATTGGGTAATGGATGATGATTGCACAAAGTAAAGCCACAGTCTGTCAAAAGTCTGAGTTAATACTGAAGGGCAGTTCAGCCCATTGATGTTGTAAGCAGATTTATTTCATAATTCACTCGGGGATTTGTATCTGGCTGTTCATATTCTTTGTCGATCCTGTAAATCCTTGTAGCCTGTTGCCCTTTATTTCGTCTACAAAAAATGTCAAGACCTTTAAAGATTCATTTTTGCCCAACAGGATAGGATGCATTCATTGCCCAAAAAAAAAGTCATCCTGCCACACATTTCCTGAGTATTTTTAAAATCTCATCAACATACAGTATGTGTTTATTATTTGTTTGTTAAGAACTGATCTGTTGCCTTTAAAATGAAACTATTATTTTTCCTCAAACATACATATCTGGGGCATATTGATGCTGTCAAAAATGTATAACTAATTGCTTGAGTTGTACAGTAGCCTATACCAGGATTAGTTTTATCAGAACACCGCAAAAGTAAGATGGAAGGAAATTTGACCATAGACATAAACAGAACAAATGCAAAACAAAGCAATTATAGCCACAGCTTTATAAAGCAAAGGTAAGATGCATAGTAGCAGACATACATCAACACTCTAACGTACAATTTATGCTGTCATGCACATGCACAAAGTAAGCAACTCACCGAGCTTGTATCTTCTGATTGCCACTCCTCACCCTCAGCCTGAAACCAGCAAGCAACACACATACACACACAAAGCACCTCAGCAATGAAAAGCAGATGCTTCATGTTCTGTCATCTTTCTCCCTCAACCCACACCACCATTGCAAGGAAAAGATTACAACCAAACATAGCACAAGGAAGAAGTCTGAGTCACGCAAACAGCACATGGAAGATACCAGATCCAATCTCAGAGGGAAAATACAACTGGGCACAATGCACAAACACATGTTTTGTACAGTATGTCATGTTTTATGTCAGACAGACTGGGGACCTACCATTGTCATTGGCCTTTCTGTGCCACAAGCATCACCAAATGGTAAAGCAAAAAAAACACTACACTATGAAATTAACTTTCAAATACATTTCCTGAACATTCAACCCCGACCCAGGGTAAGCCCTGCCCCCAATCTCATGCTATTTGTCGAACTGCAGCAGACCTTAATGTTTAAGGAGTGGAAGAGGACTTTTTGCAATTTTATTAAGTGAAATAAAGCATTATTTATTCCCTTTATGAATAAGTTTTCTTCATCAAGCTATTTCCTCACTACAATGTATTTTTTATTTTAGTTTTATTATCATTGGAGACATTTGTTGATTTAGGGACAAATGTTGGAGACATTTGTCCCAACATGAACATACATACAAGACCACCCAGACTCTGCAGAGGTGTTCAATCCTGCTCCTGGACCACCTTCCTGCAGAGTTTAGCTCCAACCTGCCTGACTAGAAGTTTTTAGCAATCCTGAACAAAGTCAGTCTGAACAAAGAAAGTTAGTTTACTCACAGCTCTATTTGCAACACCACCGAGCTGCTATTACAGACATGCAAGACCAGCTCCTATCTACCTAAATGAGGAAATACTGAAATCTCAAAAACAGCTGGCCAAACTCACATTTAAATAATGTATTTAAAATAAAAAAAAAAAAAATCTGACATGAACTGACCCATAAATATCATCTTCTATGGGAACCACACCCGCAGTGATGTCAGGACTTTACCAATTGGTGATTGGCAGTTTATCTCATTCATAGTAATATGAGGAAACCGTCTTGGCATACGCACATATGCTTTGTCCTGAAGACCTTGATTTGCTGGTTCAGGTGTGTTTAATAAGAGTTGGAGCTAAACCCTGCAGGACACCCGTTACCCAGACTAACACATGCAAAACACACGAATGCACACGTCATTCATTGCAGATATTGTTCTGCAGCTACAAATTGTGAGTCAGATAATGATGCCTGGTCAAAAGCAATTATAAATGATGAGATGAGATGAACTAAAGCATGTTAATGTTAATTGTAAGCATGTGTGGACATATTAGTAATGAATTTTAAATTATAATGTGATTTTGTGTCTAATGACGATGATGCCATACTTACCATGTAGGAGGGGCTCCTGGGGCTGAGAGGACTGAAGGGCTCCTCTGGATCTCCACTGGATATACTCAGCCTCTTCAACTTTTCCATCACATCCCTCCTCTTCCTCTCTCGCTCCTCCTCTCTCATCCTCCTCTGCACCTCCTCATGAGTCTGATCTCCTGTCTCTCTGTGCTGCTGGTCCTCCTCACTGCTCTTCACAAACACCTCCTCAGACACACTAAAGACAACAAGACTAAGAAAGGGCAACAATTCATGAACAAAATATTTTTCCTCACACAAATTTGTTTTACCTTTCTGGACTGCTGAGAGCTGCTGAATCGACTGAAGAGTCCATGTTGCTCTGCATCTTCAGTTCTCTGAGAAATATTAAACAGGCTGAACTCAGGAAGGACATTTGTTCTGAGGAAATTGCGAAACTCACCTGATTTGTCATGTTATTTCTCAACACAGAGCCAATATCGACATAACTCTATTGCTGCCCAATCATTGACACATTCTTTTCAAACTGTTCTCCTGCAGTGTGCTAAGGATATTACAGTGTATGGGTAACTCTTACAATGCTGGAAGTCATATTTCCCCACACAGTATGTCAGGTGTTGATTCATAATCTTTGTCTGATTCATTGTAGGATTCCTCATATTGATTTAATCCAACTCCCGGGTTTGTGAGACTTTTGAGCGATTTGTTCAAAGAATCAAATCAGTAGAGTCATTTCTTGGCAATCGGAGTACCTCTCATGCTTAATATTTCAAGAGGACAGCTCCATTTAAAGACGTGTTTTCTTGCCTTTATTTCACTATACACAGTCTTTTAACATCAGAGTTAATTAAAAATGTACATCCACATCTCGGGTAAAATATGATTTCTTTGTCATGGAGCTTGAGAAACACTGGCATAATCGCCATATGAATCATTTCTACTGAATCCCTAGTAGAGTTTAAAAATGGAGGTGGAGTTGGGTGGTTGTTGGGTTATTTGCTTAATATTGTGATTGACAGGAATTAGATGAACAAGCTCCTCACGAGCTGTCATTTAGAAATGTAAAATGATTTGAAACATGTAAACTAATTTTCAATCCCTCAACAAGCAATAGTCTCTACTTCAGATGTCTATTTCCATCCTTACATACATCAGTAAATAATTATAATTATATAAACATAATAACACACTATAACACAAGCATATTCATTTTCTAAATTACTTAAGTGTAAGGTTGTGTAAGGTTTAAGCGTATAGTTTTTTTTTTATTGCTACTGTTGCTATAACTCTATATACAATATTTTGACTTTTCTTATTGTAACTGCATATATTTTACAAATTACACAAGTTGAGCGTGTAGAAATGTTTGCTTGTCTATGCCTGTACCTGTCATTTGTTCTCCTCCCCTCTTGTCCATTAGTGCTGTATTGTCTCCCATTCTGTTGGAGGAGGACTGTGGAGGTGTAGGAAATCTTCATCTCTGCCTTCTTTTCTCTCTGTGAGCACAACAAATTCCGAAGCATATATTAGGCACTTGAAAGACTGGTTTTTAATGCATGACTGGGTTTAAGGGATTAAGGGTAAGAAGTATTATTTAAGTTCTGTCTTGTTCTTAAATATCATACCTTCTCATCCATGTCACAGCTCTGATTTTGTTTTTTCCGGAAAGATGACTCATGACCTTTCACCCTTCTTGGATCCTCCTCCTCTGCACACCTCCGTCCAGTCTCTCCCTCCTCCTTCTCTGCTGCCTTAATGTTATTCATTCTTTCCTGCTCTCTGGCACCCCAGTCTTCATCATCACCATCCTCATCCAGGTTTTGCTGGTTTGAAAGGGGGGGTCGGGTCTGTATGAATGGGGTGCTGTCATACACATTTATATCATGCAGTTTACTTTGTTGAGCAGAGCTGGAACAGAGCTGGAGTTTTGAGTGACGGGAGCCGTTGAGATGTGATTCTACATCTTTATGTTCCATTTGTCCCTGTTTGCGCTTGCTCAGATGTGTCCAATCACTGAAGCCTTCGTCCTCTTCCAAAGAGGATGGACAGCTTGGAACCAGATCATTCTGACCCCTAACAAACAGTGAAACACTTTCAGAATTGCCTCTCACTGGGATGCCAATATAAGAATAACAAGTCTACTTACAACAGTTGAGTATGTGAATAGAATAGAATAGAATAGGTAACTGAATCAAAAGAACAGGTGTGGTCTTGACACATATACACACACAAACAGATTAACAAGCACACAAAGAAGAAGACAGAGAAAGTTGGCTTGAGCCAGAATCCATGGAAACAAAACAAACACACACACACACACACACACACACAATACAGTTTCTTCTATGTATTTGATGAAGACTGTAGTATATTTTAGGTTTTTGAAACTAACTGGTTGTGCAGAGGCTGTGCAGTGCGAGGGCTGTCCTGTGGGGTCATAGGAGGCTCAGTAGAGGAACTGGCTCTTGAACGCTGTCGTCGTTCTCTCTCAATTTCTTCTGCATCCTCCAGACTGCGCTGAACAGTGATCCTGCGTAATAACAATTCATATAATACAAACTAGTATTAATCTTCATAATTTCTATGTTCAGGAACAGAATTGTGATCGCTAAATCATGAATGCTGCATTTGTGCAGACTTGTATACAGTATACTGTAGTGTATATAATCTTACACTGTGATGAAAATCTTCAGGCAGTAATTTGCAACTGATCAAACAATAATACATCACCACGATTATGATAGCGATAGGGGTCATCTGACAGAAGTTAGGGTCAGAGATGGACAGGAAGTAAGTAAAACATGGACAGGAAGTGCAGGGTTCACAGTGACAGGAAATGGCTCACTGCCATCCTTTACGAGGGCTTACATTACGAGACTAAACAAAACAAATGACACAACTAATTCTGCAGAGAAAAACTTTTACTGATTATTTACAATAATTGTGCAGATGTGGGTGATTACCAGACACTTTTATTCTTCTTTACAGATCAGAAAATATTTCTGCGCTTTCATCAATGAAATCACAAGTTTTACTGGAAGTGTAATATTGGTGTAAGCTTATAGATTATATTACACATGACTCTGGGAACTGATGCACTGTTTGCTAATATTTTCTATAACCTGTCCTAAATGAGCAACAAAGGCACGCATTGTTACTATATATACTGACACCATTTATCTAATGTGCAATCTAAGCACTTTATAACTGGTTGGCAGAACAAGCCAGAAAAGAAAAGAAAAGAAACAATAACAGTTTGAAACTACCATTCAAAAATGTGGGCCAGTACAATTTTTTCTTTATTATTATTCAGCAAGGATGCATGAAATTTTATGCATTATACTTTTTATTGTTTTATTGTATTTTTGATCAAATAAATGCCGCTTTGTTAATCATAAGAGACTTCTTTCAAAAACACCAAAAAAATCTTACTGACCCAACCTGTGATTCCAATTTAGACCCATGTCTGTAAAACAAATCATCAAACAATATTCTGAATGTTCTTCTCCAAGTAAACAGTAAATCTTAATTCCATGATCACATTATGTTACGCATGGACACATGGAAGAAGAAAAACATATACTTTAGAGTAGTCCAATTCTTTTACCACTCACGCTCTGCTTAAACATTTGAATCTGTTACAAAACATTTAGTGTAAATGAATGTAGCAAGCACTAAAGCAGAGTAGCCTAAATCTATAATATCGATAATAACTGCACCCTTTCCTTTGTTGAACAATCTTAGTGAGAATGGCTGGGTGGTGGAACGGCTCAAATTTTCCGGCAGTTTAGAGGAGCTCCGGGTCCTTAGGGCAGAATGGGAGGGGGGCAGATCCAACAGATTTAGAGCAGGGGGTGATCTGATGATGTCACCACCCTCAGGAAAATTCCAGTAATAAAAGAAGCTATTGAAGCCTGTCACTGCCGTTTCATATGATGTCATGAATTGACTCACCATGTGCCGTGTGAACAACAGCCATCTGGGACAGCTTTGGGACAGATTTTACTTTAACTACAGACACATCCAAAGAACATTCACGTTATCATTTCATGACATCACTCATAACTATATAACAACACAATTATATACCCTCAAAACCTCTGGGACAGTCTGATGATTTGGGTTTCACTATATCCGCATCCATGCATTCTTTGACCATAGAACCACAAAACAACCCACAAGAACTTTAACCCTTCCCCATAAACACCCTGAAGAACTGATAAACAGCAGAAAGAAGTCATTCTCTGTTTTTCCCTCTTGACCCCTCTGTTCTACCTGATAAATCCATTATTAACTCAGCACCTAATGGTTGTCCGGTGCTACTCAGCATTTTTAGATAACAGTTTATCACTATCAGCACATTAAGAGCTTAAAAGTCATGATTTCGGATGTAAAAGTAAAGATTTATAAAACAGGATTTAATGAACTGCAGCACGATCTATTTAAAGGCAAAGAGACCAGTGCGACTTCGTAGACTAAAGAATCTGACCAAGTAACACATTCACACACACACACACACGCAAACAAATCAACAACATCTCACCTCTGGAGTTTCTCCAATCCCTTCTTGCTGGAGTGTCGTCGTAGGATTGAGCTGGACATGTTTTTGTGTTTCACTGAATCTCCTCACTGAAAACCCAGCAGCTTTGCTGTGACTGAAAATGGTATCTGACTGTGTATTTCTCTCCTTTCCTGTGAGTCCTCTAAAGGGTGTGAATGTGCTCCCCTTCTTTCACTGAGCAGGATTTAGTCAATCTCTCTCTCTCTTTCTGTTCCACTCGCTCCCTTCCTCTGTCTCTCTCCATGTGTTTTTCATTCAGAGCTTTGAAACTCTGGCTCCTGTCTTTTCCAGTTCTCTCTTCCAATCAACAGAAAGCTAACCAGTCATGTGGTGATCCCCTGGGAAAGTAAGATGATACCACACACACACACACACACATCCAAACCTCAAAACAATAGCATTGCAAGACCACTAATAGTCTTTGTGTTGTCAGGCACTCAGTTCAGAACCATTATATCCACATGCATTGTTTACCTGCCTAAAGAATAAACAGGTAGGCTGAGGTAAGTACATAAGTAGAGATAAGCACCTAAGTATCCATTATAATCATTATAATTCAACTAAATGAATCATGGCCCAACTAAAATATTAAAAACATGTGTGGGCGGAAGAAGAAGAAGAAGAAGGAAAATAATTATATTAGCCATGGCACAATGGTGAGTTAAAATAATGTGTATAGCTACAAAAGGATGTGCATGTGAAGTTGTATAATTATGCCAGCTAAGATTTATACATCACACTTCAGCAGTATCACAGGTGAACGCCTACAGTTTATGTAGCGTTGATAGTTTAATAGTTACTTTAAACACTAAGGATTCAGTATGTTTAACTCTTCAGACTTGTACTGTATACAATACACTTTTTTCTTTTAAGAATGTAAAGAATGAAAGACAGGAAAAAAAACAAAATATAACAAAACGCAAGCATTTGGAACACTTAATAATATATATTTTTTTCAGTGGGAGATTTCATAAATACACAAAATAATGTTCTTTTTAGCAGCATCATATGACCCCTTTAAATCTTGCTTTGCTTATTAAATGAACAATCTCTGTGTGTGACTATACTTGCTACATGTAAAGAGCAAGTCTCTACTACAGTAGTGTGATAGTCTGGCTGTTTTTCCCTTGTGACCACTAGGGGTCATGGGTTGCTGTTGTTCTTTAGTCTCACTGAGCCATAAAGTTGGTGAAATAATGAAAAAGCAAAACTTCAAACTTTGATTATTTGAGTTGTAGTTTATTTTTTCCAGCAAACGTCTCTCAATACTGTTTTGAGTATTTAAATGGGTTTTATTGATGAATATCTATTTATTTGGTCTAATTACAAAGGCCCAAAGTCAGATTATTCTTTTACAAATTAAAGCCTCAGCTGCAAAGCCAACCATCACATACATCAAAACCTCCTTTATACAATACATAACCAACTGTGACATCACTTCACACAATAGATAGCATTACTATCTCTCAAAACCCTGAAGACCACGAGAATTAAGACAACCTGACCGAATAAATCATTGTATGGAAATGTAAATATATTTAAGAAAAACAGATTTAGGCCTCAGACTCAAACATCTTCTTCCTGCCATCCATACCAGCCTTATCCTCGATGTTCTTACGCCAGTCTCCCACTGACTCCTTCTCCTGTAGCACCAGAAAAAGTATAGAGTTTCAAAACAAGCTTTCAGGTAATTTGTCTGCTGTTGCTGTTTGTAAAAAGTCTTTAAAAGAGATCATCTGAGTTCATCATCTGTCCACGTTTTATTGCATGCTCACCTCCTCCTTGACCTCTTTCTTGACCTGTTTGAGGTTGGCTCTTAGATCCAGAGACACCTTGTGTTTGGAGCCCAGCAGGGCCTGCAGCATGGCATCAGCAGACATACGCACTTTCTTCAGAACAGGTTTCTTGAATTTACCTTTCAGGTCCTGAACCTTTATCTTCAGATCTTCAATCTTAGGAGATCAAGAATAAAGTTTAGGTTTTAGAAGTTACGTCAGTTAAATACATTATCTAGTAAAACAGAACAAAAGTACCTCTTTGTTTGACTTGGCCACTTTGCTCTCCATATCATATCTTTGTTCATCAACAGCGTCAATCTGCTGGTGCAACTTCCTACACAGCTCCTTTACACAAAGATACATGAATAGCCTATTCAATTTATTGGTCCCCAAAAAGGCAGAAAGTTTTGTGTGAGGATTAGGTTTAGTGGTTGCGTTAGGGTACAGTTTGTACAGTAGAAAAACCATTACGTCTATCCACCTTTTTCTTCAACGCGGAAGTAAGCCTATGGGCGAGACTTCCGGTTCATTAGCCACTATAGTTAAATAACGAGAAGAATAACAACATGCAGTAAACAGTAAAACTGTTTGCACTACAAACCAGTGTGTTCATAATTAAGACAATACATTGAAATAATATGGTAAGACACACACATTTTCAAAATCAAGCAGCAAAACGAACTGTTTTGTACAGCTAAAAATAGCTGGATGTGGATGAGACCGGAAGCCAGACCCATAGAATTTACAAATGGCCGCACCCATTTTTACAGCAAGAAAAAGGTGGATAGAACATCTCCATAAACATGGAAGTCAGTGTGTGTGTGTGTGTGTGTGTGTGTACCTGTATTTCCTGCATGCTTCCAGGCAGTGAGAGAACAGGGCAGTTCTCATCCATGAATCTCTGTTTTTCTTGCTCAGCCTCAGCTGCCTCTTCCTCCAAAAGGCCATGAGCAATCTGAAGCAACAAGCTCTGGAGCACAGAGACAAAGACGTAGCATAGACAGCATTCAACAAGAGAGTCACTGACAGTTCATATAGCTCAGATCACATGACGAAAGACATGACCTCACCTTCAGATTTTGCCTGCGGCTGGACGACATCTTTTTCCTATCAGAAAGCAAATGTTTACAATTTCAGAGAGTGCAGAACAGTGCATCATTTAGTGGTTGGGGTGATTATGGTTGGGAGAAACAGATGGAACATCCATGCTAAAATACTTTTGATAATAGTAATAATAGCATTTATGCTAGTATAAATACAAAATGATCATGATGCTAAATGTGTTTGCTGAGTTCAGTAATCAAGGACTTAGTGACTTGACCTTTTTCACACCACACAAACATTATGATGTTGTAACTCAATACTTACTCAGACATCTTGCCGGGCTCTGTGTGGCGACCTCTGTGAAGGTGAAGACGCCTGTGGGTGGCAGGTGGGGGTGTTACTGCCTTCAATCTAATGGAAACAATTTGCATTCAGTCATCGGTTCTGCAGCAGGTCTAAATTTGGCTGGGATAATGTGAAAGAGAGATGGGTGTGTGAGTGTCGAGACCCACAGAAGTGTTAGGTGTTTAAGGGTTTGAATTTGAGAAGCAGTTGTCTTGTGCTCTTTTTTTAGTGTTCCTTTGTAGGAAGCAGAAGGTCTGCACCAATACAGAAGGCGAGACAGCTGACAGACAACTTGCTGCCTCTTGAAGAATCTCCTCGACTTCAACACTCAACAGCTGAAACCCTCCACAACTGTAAAAATACTTTCTGCTCTATTAGTTCTATATTTTTCTTGCCAAAAAAGATTTTGGATTGGACGTGGACTGAGTTGGGACATTCTGTTTTCTAAAATCAGCTGTGGTCTTCATACCTGCGTATATCATAAGGTGTATGAAGGAAATACGTACATTGTGAAAAAGGATTGCCTAGGATTTATGGTAAAACCTGTTAATTGGTTAACGGTAAGTTGCCATACTCTACATAGTGAAAAACTAAAACAGATCTATTGGGACATTTCATGTAATTTTATAGTTTTAAAAAACTATAAAAAACTGTTAAATGGACAGTTTTTGGAAGTAAAAAGAACAAGTAATTTAGACATTCACAGAATTTCCTGCACGATACTTCACATTTGATGGTATTTTGTTAAAACTATGGTTTTATGTTATGTCTTATGTTGATAAATTACTGTTTATTGCATTATTTTAATGTCATGTGTGTTACCATGATGGTATTTTGTATTTGTGTGTACGACACTGTACACCTTATGTCTTTATGTTAAAAAAATCAAAACAGATTTTAGTAGCAGCTTGGTTATGGTAATTTAACAGAAAATGGCTGTTGAATTTACTGGTTTAAATTTTTTTAAATTAAAATTTTTGTAATTTACAGCCATTTTAAACAGTAAAATGTACAGGTCTGTAAATTTGTTTACATTTTACAGTATTTTAATTGAATTATTCCAGCAACCCCAACTGCTGTTTTTTTAAACAACAGGTGCTGATGAAGTAAGTCAGGAAATATTGAACTGTGAGCATGTGCTTAATGAGATTCATAATACTTTTTACAATGAATTAAATATAGCCAACTCAAATAGACCCCAAAAACAAATACTACAAATATGTCAAATTTGAGGTCTAATAAAAGCTTTCTGAGCATTTGACATTACAGTTTAAAGTTAAAATTGATAATAATTTATCCATAAAGAAGACATCAAACCATATCCATTATCTCTTATTAACACAGTATTATATTAGGCAACAGCCACTGCTTTGTCTCTAGTACCTTCCTCCAATATACAGTACATTATAAAGCATATTATTATCTTGCTTATTGCTCTAATTTCTTGGCTGAGTATGGTTGCTCAGCAAGATTGAGATCTTCTGAAGATCTGTGGCATGTTCTAATGTTAGAGATGGACAGAATAATAGAGACTCACCTTTCAGCACACAGCAGGACGTTCAGAGGTGATTAGAGTGAAGGAGTATCAGCTTATAACATTAGTTGGGTTTATATAGGTTTCCCATACGGCTTCTCCATTCTCTTTAAGGAAGCAGATCTTTTTTCAAGCCAATGAGATTGTCAAATCCCAACACCCCTTCTCCTTCCCTCCCCCACAATCAACACACACACATTTGTTTTTCTAACATTCTATCATGGTGACCTGTATTATTCTTATATTGAGCTAATGATGCTTTCGATCCCCTTACATAACCTACCCATTACCAAAATATGTATGCATTTTAATTAAAAAAGGATTTTGTATATGTTAACTGGTCCCACAGTGTAGGTAATTTCATTTTTATCTGTCCTTGTGGGGACATTTGGTGCAATGTACAGCATGCAAACACACACCTGACCCACATCTTTCACTAAATCCTTGGAATGAGCAGAGAAACATGACACTCTTTCAATATAGGCGTTTATTGCAAGTGCAAGAACTGTAAGAAATTAAGATGAACCCTGACTATTACTTCTGTTG